CATCATGCTGTGTGTCTGCCAGTGTGTGCCTTACTAATGTGGGAAGTGACCACTGAAGTGTCTGCGATGTATGCAGTAGAAAGCATAGCAGCACTGAATTTACACTCAGATTCTCCAATCCCAGTCTAACAATGTAAAGCTTTTAAGTATCTGTAAATATGATTTGTGTCTACTTCATGTAATAAGACTAAAGAAACCTTTAGGCTAATTGAGAATCAGGATCAGAATTTGTCAGTTCACTATGGCATGGATTTTTCATTTCAAATAACCTGGGCCAAAAAGTGCATCTTTTTTGCTCCTGAAGCAATTACTCATAATTAGGTTATTCCCAGGTGGGCCTCACTATTACTAAGTTTTCATGGTTATCAGATTCTGTTTTGTAATATGGATCTCATTGTGGACATACTTTTCCTCAATTTCTATTTACTTATTCTGAATAGGAAGTAAAGTGATTCTCTTTTCAGAATAAGCAGCAGTGGAAGTGTGTCTGTATTGATAGTTGTATTCTACAGACTGTTTTTATAAATATATTCTTGTGTAAAATGTGTAGTATATGAGAAAATTGGATTCTTAGCTTTTTATTGCACAAGATTAGCTTAAATTACTTCAGTGACTCAAAAGAATAGTTTTGATAGTCAGTGACCAGATTCAAATTAGTACCCAATAAAAAAAGTACATGTATTCATTTATAGTCGAGCTAAGAAAAGCTTAGTCTTACAGTAGCAGAAGATGGAAATGCATTACGGAGATAAGCAGTCGACTTCCTTAGGCTAGATAAAATGTACCAAAAGGAAAGACAGAGAAGAATCTGTGTATGTCAAAGACATTGTCTGACTCTGTACCTCTTCTGGAGTGCAAGTGCTTAGCTGTGATTAGAAGTAGTGTCAATGAAATATGAATGCATTGTAGCATTTCTGACCATATTATACTGTATCTACATGGTGTTTCAAGTAACCCCTCTTTATCTGAATCAGAAGCATGAAAGAAATTAATAAAATATATGAGGATAAGGAAAGAGCTTGTACTGTGCCCTCTATATAATAGTAAAATCCCTGGTACAGCTTGTACAGTAAGGTGACATTGTCATTAGGCTATTTCTCTGTAAGTCATTTGCACTTCGCAAACTAAACGTTGTATCAAAGCTTAATGTAATTCTTACCTGGCATGCTCTTACTTTGGGAGGAGTGATCTATTGCAGACATAACCAAAATGAGGTTATAAATACAGTGCTAATATTACTAATATTTGCTTGATACTACTTATAGAACCCATCACCTAAGAATAATGAAGCACTGACAAACAGTAAGTAACATCAGAACATCTAGCCAGAGAGTGTACTTTTCCTAATTAGTATGGAAAGTCAACGGCTGGACAAATCATTAATTCGGCCAGATCACACAGTGAGTAAGTGCCAGGGATGCAAGTGAGAAGCCAGGAATGCTGACTAGTCCTTTCTGAGATCTAGAGAGCACTTCCAAAGTCCAGCCTGAAAAAAGAAAACCATTTCTTCTTTCTGTGCTGTGTAAATACTTGAAATACTTCCAGAACTTCTCCTGCTTGGCTTTGCATAATAGAAGAGATACGGTACTTTGACAGTATGGTCTTTCCCACCTAGCTGAAATGAGGCATCAGTGAAGAACATGTTTGCAGAGATGTGAGATCTCCTATACAGCTTCAACACAAAAGGAGTTTTGCTGAGCATTGGTACAGTGAGCTTAGGCAGTGAGTGTATAGATTTTTGTGCTGCTACTTCTCTTTCTGTTGGAAGCTCTCAGAGCATTTCACAAACTTTAATGACTGAAACTTCTCAAAGCATTAATGACATTCCTAACTTTATTGAACAGAGGGGAAAAAAGAGAAACATTGAGGCTGACTGACTCCCCCACTGACACAAATGAATCCCAGAGACCTTAGTCTCTGATCCGGCAGACACATAGGTAGGAGCCTTAATTTTTTAGATGAGCAGTCCTGTTGAACTGGAAAGGAAATGCATGTGAATAAAATTAAACATGTACATGTTTAAAAGATTAATCCTAATTTTAACCATTAATTTCTCTCCCCTCCCTCATGATTGCCTTTTCCAAAAAAACCTAAGAAAATCTTGAGAGGGTTTTAAATCACCTAATTGGTCCATTTTATGGAGTTGGATTTAATATAGGTAGTATTTTATTTAAGTCTACATGGATGTCACTTGTATTTTCTCTAAAGTGTTGACCATATAATAAGTGTGAAGCTAGACTGCTGAAAGGCACTGTGCAGTCTTTAACCTTTAACCGGTTTAACCTTTCAGGGAACCCATGGCAGTTTTAACTGGCTATGTTATTATCTCAAATTGTTTGTTCTTCAAATATTGATGTTCTTCACAAAGTGGAATAACACTTAATTATTTGTGGTGTGTAAAGTAATAAATGACCTTGTAAATGAAAATCGAATGCAGGGACAGGTACCAAATGTTTACTGACCATAAACACCACGCTAACTCTGGGTGAAACATTTCTTATTATGTAGACTAATTTTCAAACCACATTTGTTCTGTTTATTAGTTTTAATGGCTTAGACATGTTAAAGGTAGGTAGTTATTTTCCTGAACATGAACTACTTGAGATGACTAATTCACGAACTTTTATTGAAACATCATTTTGTGTTTGATCTGGAAAAGAAAATAACATTTTTTCTATGGATTTCATCTGATGCTACAATTCAGTAGTTAGTAATTACATAGGAATTCACTTGACACATGAAATAAGTACTGATAAGAATCCATTCCTAGAAGGAAGTAACTAATGAACAAAATCATAATATGTAAAGCTTTTCTTTTTTTAAGTAGGAACTGACCAATTCGGGGGGGTTTTTTGTTTGTGAAGTCATTAAAGATTTTGATTAATAAAAACGTTTCTTTATTTGCTTGGATTGCCAGCCCAGAAATGTTAAGTTTAGTTTTAGTTTTGCATGAGGAACTAAGGGAGAGCTCAGGGATATTAATTATGAACCCTAGAAACCTAATGCCAGCAGTGAGTGTGGTGAACCTTGAGCCAACTATCTTATCATTCTAAATTTTATTTGCTTATTAGAGTTTTGTAACTTGTTATAAAATGCAACAAGATTTTAGTCATTTTAAACAATCTGATTCAAATTTATTTCTTCTCCCAACTCCCCTCTTTTATCCCATGTTGTGTCATCAGTTCTCCAGTGCAAGGCTTTCAAGCTTTAGACTTGCTAATCTGAATTGTAGCCAAAAACAACCTTTCCAGGTTGTCTACTTTAGCCAAAAAAGGCACAAAAGAGTAATTTCTAACATAGAAAAATATCAAAATTGCAGCTAAGAGAAAAATAAATTCACCAACTACTAGCTCATTGAAGTCCTCATTTTAACCTTAGAGAGATACATGTATATACCATATGTACCATGTGTGTATATAGATATACAAGCTTTTCAAAACAGAGTTGCAGTTCTCATTAACCTGCACAGTATAGCCTAAAGCAGCTTCCAAAAACGTGGACATACCTTGTGTTCTGCACTGTGATTTAGACTGTCAGGTAAGATACACCATTAGATCTGGAAATGGCATGCCAGTTTTGCAGCATTGTGTCAATCCCAATGCCAGCAGCTTAAAAGAGAAATACTTTTAAAAATGAATACAGAATGTTTGAATCGCTCCAAAGAATGTCATTGCTGTGTTTGGGTGCTGGCCCCCAGACTGTTTTCAGGGGATTGGTATTTTTCTTGTTCGGAGGAAAGTAAGAGCAAAAGTTCCTTTCAGTGTTATGCGGACACTGGGTTTGCTCTGCTCCCTTATGGAATAATTACCAGCGATTAAGTGTTCTTGGTTTTTGTTTTTCCCATCCTGCCTCCTTACCAGTTATGTACTATATAGTTTAGCAAAACTCTGAAGACTGTTTAGAGTTACTGGCTTTCTGTAAAGCAAATAGCTAAACACTGGAGTTGATGCAAACAAGGCACTTAGCATCTGAAAGAAGTGTTAACACTTTATTTACATTTAAATTAAAATGGACACTTATTTATGTGTTCTGGTTCTGAAAGGTGTGTGGTACATCTGCAGAGGCCTATTGTTTATTCATGCTGTAAATCCTTTGAAATGTGTTAAAATGCTTCCCACTCATTATAAAAATCCTGCCACCCATGGATTAGGGCTTTGATGTCACCAATCCTGCTTCAAAGGGTTCTTTCAATGCTATTAATCACAGTTTAGCCTCTGAAGATATAGCCAGAGAAAACATTTGGACATCTTGTGCTAGACTTGCTAAAACTTTGAAATATACAGAGTGTCTTGCATATGCACAGTCCCATATCACTTCCTCTCTCTTCTCTGAGCCTTATTTTGAAAAGCTATTTTGTGATGACTGTGGCTTTCTACAAGTACAGAGGAAAAAATTCCGGACACGTCATACTGTACATTTAAAAAAAGGCACTCGTCTTTCAGTTGACACCATAATATGTTTTTCCCTGAGGAATTGAGTCAGTCTTTAAAAACCCCAAGGGACAATAAGATTGGGGATTAAGCAGGCCTATATGTCAAAAGGTCAAAAAAAGATACCGTCTTATCATTTTCTCATCTCTTTCATTAGTTTGTGAGCTTAAGATGCTGTCTAAACACTTCAGGATCCACATGATTTCATAGAAACAAGTTTGTTTCTGCAGTCTTTTTCAAATCTCTCAATGAGTCACAGAGAAATTGATTACTAGTGATTGAGCTGTATGCCTTTGTGCTGTCGTTGTTTTCATCAGCTCAGTAGCTAAGGTCAGTGACATACCGCCTTATCACTGACTTTTTCCTCCCTTTTAAATCAACACTGCACTCTGTCATGCTTGTGCTGAATGCTCTGCAGGCACAACTGGTAATGACCAGGGTGTGGAAGAAGTGTGGTGGTGTCTGCTATTTTTAGTACTATTGTACAAACCGATTTTCCACCATACAAATTTTTCCCTGCTAAGCTTCTTGAACGATTTTTGCAGTATGTATTTCTTTCTTTTTGAACAGGTAACTTGGCACAAGCAAGAGCCAGAGTGACAGCAGCATCTAGGTCTTTGCCTCCACAGCTTAGTGCTGGGCGTATCAAGGTTAGTAGTGTTCCCTTTGAAGACAGGCAATTGTTCATAAAATATTACAGTGAGACTATGGACATGATGCTTAGCTGATGTAGGTATATAGTGAGATTCTTGCCAAATGAGAGTCTGCCTTAATATCAGAAAACATGCACCTCAGCTGGGAGCACTGTTTCCAGTTTTAGTGAGGACCCTGTTGTAGAATCCAGTGAAGAATCAATTTACTACTGATTAATCTTTAAACTTTTGGAGTGAAATCTCAGTTACATTGATATTGATAGCAATATTCCTCTTTATTTCCATGGGGTCAAGGTTTTCCTCTGGTAATTTTGGCCTAGAAAGAGATTTAATTAGGTAAAATTTGAATAGTGTATTTAACAGTATGAAAGGCAAAATTAAAAAATGATCTGTTCCTTTTTTATTCAACTTGCAAGTGAAAAACCAGGGGATGTTTGTGACTGATAGATGACCAGAAAAGAACGACTCTGCAAAACCACTATTCTTTAAAAAGAAGAACGGTAGAATTTAAACGCTGCTGAATTTTGCCATGAAAGTATGTGGCATAATTGCAAAAGGATGGGATAATTATATGGCAGTTAATAGGATGTGTTGCCAACTGAGTACACTTAATTTGTGAGGAAAACTCTTGTGCCTCAAGCTGATAGCATGTACACCCCGTCCCTGCTTCCGAAGTAATACTTTAGAGTTAGCTTAGTTAAGGGTTTGGGAGGGGCGGGGGGGTTGCCTCCAAAACAAACAATAATTTTTAAAAACAAATGTGGTAACAGCAACTGTTCAAAAGTCTACAGAATTTTATGTTCTGGGTTTTCTATTTCTTTTCATTCTCTCCCGTTATTAGGAGCTCATGCTCAAATGTTGATACAGTAATTCATGTCACCCAGACATCTATATCCTTCACTGTACCTGCAAATACAGATGTGGGTTTCAGAGATTTATTTCCTCTCTGGTATTAACACTTCCAGTGCTGAAGGACAGATAATGGCATTTCCAATTTTCTTGTATTATACGCACATTGTCATCGACATCCAGCTATATTCAGCATAAGCTTTCTAAGCGTGCATTTTATTGATACAGCTGGAATGGAATAGAGCAGTTCTCTTTCAGAGCTTTAATAAACACAATCAGTTACTAAGTAGTGTTTAAGTGGTTTTTACTCACCCTTCAAATTTTTAAAGAAGGCGCTAAAAGACATGCATAAGTGCAGCACTGTTCAGAAAATGTTAATTGAAATAGTTTTTAGCTGAAAAAAATTCTTTCTTACAATTTCATAAAACTTCTAATTAAAACAACTTCAGGAAAAAGATTTTAAATTGCTATTTTATAATTTGTTAAAAATTTCCAAACATAATAATTTTGTTTGGAAGTTTGGAATTTTTCATTTATTATTTAATTTATGAGCTTTTTTGCCTGACATATTTTTTGGTTTTACAGTATTTCATACCATGCCAGCAGCAGGTGTGGTCAATATGTGAAAGTAATAATTTCCAGTGACTTCATAAGGTGACATGATGTCATAAATCATTCTTTTAATAGTGTTTCAAAACTATTATAAGCAATTCTTTTTTAGTGACGGAACAGTTTGTCTTTCGTAGGTCAAGCTGTTTTCCATTTCAGTTGTAATCGTATAAATGTATATTGTACGTCACTACTACTGTCATGTAAAAAAGTGACTTAACAGTTGAAATATTCTTCATTTTAGTTTAAAAAGAGTATCTAGTGATTTAAAACACAAAGTTATATCATGACATTCTTATTATGTTCTATCATTTTCTACCAAGCCAGTTGTGATAAAGCCTATTGCCTGTTATACATGCGATTATTGCCCTACCATAAAACTGCATGGCTTCATAGACACGCAATGTTATAAATTAACCAGAGACAAAACTTCTTAAAAATTCTTATAGGAAAATCTCCCTAGCTTTAGGGTCTATCAGAATTTTTCTAATGGAAACTTCAAATATTCCTTGTCTAAATGATTTGGAAATTGATCCTAGTCCTTACAGATTGCACAGATCTGAATTTAACAACTCCATCCATAGAAAAAGGAATCTCATGATACTGGTCTTACCCTGATTTTCTGAGAAAAAGTGTATTACATCTCCTCTGTGAGTGTTTCCACCCATCTGTCTTTCTGTGCGTTCACTCCCTTCCCCCCAAAAAAACCCAAAACAAAACCCTTTTGAACCCAGCAGGCTGTAGTAAACCGTATTTAACAGAGTGACAGTCTCAAAGATCGTAAGATTCTACAGGTTTGGTGAAAATAAGCAGCTGTGAAAAGGAGATGTTTACAGTATGCTACTGCCCAAAAGGTAGAGCATAAGCTCACCCTTTATTGGCCAGTAGCTATTCCAGATATGACTGAGAGATCATGAGTGCTGAACCTCCAACAACAATACCGCTAAGAGTCTCTGCTTTTCTAGACAGACAAGAATCCAATTTAGAAGCTCAAATTCACGGGCGTTTGGGCTTCAGGGCAGTCTTCAAATTGTTTGCTTTTGCTCTTGATTTTGGTGTTCTTTATGATGAAATTGTCTGTCTTTTAACATTAAATGTTACTAGTTATTCGTAACTTACTGTCAATATTCAGTGGTATGGCTTTTGTCTTCTACCTGACCTTTACTAGAGATTTAGATATCAATTCTCAAAAAGCAGTTGTCTTGCCAAGATAGTTTCAAAACATTCCCATATCCTTCCCTGTGGACATGCCTGCTGTTCTGATTAGGTCATTGATGTTTACTTTGTCAGGTGACCTCTTAAGATGTTTGATGTTATCTGTGCTGATAAGGCATTTTTCCTGGGATATATTACAGAGTTTTCTGTTAACATCCTTAAAACAAATCAAACTGCCCCTTTTTTTTTTTCCTCATGTGTTAGCTTGAGATGCATACTAATGCATGTACACCACTCTGGGCTAGAACATCACAGATTACAAAAACATACTCAAATTTTTATGGTCACCCTTATGGAAATCTGTCTCCCTTTGCACCATCTGCATTCTGAATCTTGTTTTCACAAGTTTTCTTTTGATTTCTTTCCCAACACAAAATTCATTTTCTTGATCTATTACTACTTAGTGCTTCATTTCCTTTATATTTTGCATGCAGTCTCCTAAATATCTCCTGAAGGTAAGAGACACATTTACTTTATTGAGAACTGTAATCTTTCAGCAATTACTTTTAGTGTTCAGAAGAGTGGTCTTAAGTCAGTGAGTGTTGGAAATGATTGTATGGACCAAAGTCCAGGAAGTGTAGCACAGGTGCTGATAACAGCATTATCTGGTTTATACAAATGCCACCTGGACAGAGCAGGTGGTAAACTGCCACAAAACAAGTGAATGCTAAAATGTTGTTAATGCTCCATGCAAACAGGATGCTGGTTGATTTTCTTTAATTTTGTTGAGCTGTAATACAGCAACACAATCTGCTTGTGATTGGTAACCATGGTTATACTCATTCATAAACTCTGGTTTCATTTTGATAAGAACAGCTGTACTGACAATATAACTAAAAAATACAAGGAGCAATATGTTTGCTGTCCATGTATACCCTCTAAAAATAACTTCTGAAATGCTGAAAAAGCAGTATTTGAAGCTATGGCAGTTCAGCAGAGTAAGATTGCTGACATTCTTGGCATCAAAATGACAATTTAACGTAATTAATAGTAACCACAATAGCAGAAAGGAAAAGACTTATACATTCTGAGATTACCTACTTTGTTTGCCACTTGTTATCTGACAACAACATTTTTTCCATACGTGAGCAAAATAAGGCAGCTCAATTTACTTCCTGGTCATTACAAAAATGATAACTCTTCTTATCTAGAAAATAAGACCTGATGGAGTTCATTGTAGTGGTGATAAAAGGAATGCTTTTTAGAAATCAGTTCATACGGTATTGCATCTTGACAGCTGCTTTGTTGGCTGTGTGTTATACTATCATAACAAAAGTGTGAAATAATTCGGAACAGTTACAGCTTTCTCTGAAATCAGTGCGTGTCCTGCATCTGTTAGAAGCTGGCCTTCCTACCTCTGATCAGGTACTCTGAAGTGCTCACACCTGAAGGAATGACCATAAAAAAACCTGAACCCAGCTTTCATGGGTGAGATGGGGTGGGTCTGCAGTGTTTCTGGAACAGCTCTAACATCTGAGTTTTGTCTTTCAGGTTGACACGATGGAGGTTATGCGACACCCTGAGGAAACAACTAACATGAAGCGGCAAACTATGGCTTCCTATTTTAGGGTACAGAAGTTAAATTGTAAACAAACATTTTGGTGATAAGAACAATAGATATATCTAAAATATTTGTGGGATTGTGAGATCAAAGAGAATAATAAGAATTTTTTTAATCTGTTGTGAGGCCTTTGTATACTCCTAAATTTTCTTTTGCTCCTTTTCTTTTTGTTTCCTCATACTTCTACTTTTATAATTTCACCGAGTACCTTGATGACAGAATCTGGAGTCTAGACTATTTCCATCTAAAATGCTGGAGGTCTACAAGAGGCCTCTTTATGAACAGAAAACTGATTTTGTGCAAATAAAATAGCTGTCATTACTAAAGCCTTCATATTTTTTCACAAGCTCAGGCATACCTACTTTTAAAGATTAAGATTTGTCATTTGTACTAATAAGTAAAAACAATCCATCTTTTGGAAGTATTGTTATAAATCATATGGATTGCCATCTTATCAGTAGTAATCCTGTCTGGGGTAATGCATATTCTGCATGTGTGTTTAAATCAAACGGGTAAGGAAATGGCATTGAGAATGTTGGAACTGGAAGGTTAGGAGTCAGGAAACCCACATGCCAATCCAAGGCTGTTGATTAATGTTTTTTTTCTTGTGGTCATTGCAGAGTGGAAAAATTTTGAGCAGTTGGTCCTTGGGCTGCACTTGTACCATGCAGGAAGTTCACAGTGCTGTGCTAGCTAGTGTGGGTCAAAGCTTCATGCCATGTAGGAATACGTGTTTTCTTTGTCATGCAAAATAGTGTAAGGAAAGGCATAGAGGAAGCTGATGTATACTGAGATGTTGCCCCAGGGTGGAGGGTACAAGGACGCACATTCAAACTTGTCTAGTAATACAAGTGTGGATTTAGAGTGTTCTTGCAAAGAACTACATAGATGTCAGCTGTGTAGAAACTGTAAAAAAAAAAAAAAAAGAAAAAAAGTGGAGTGGGGGAGTGAGTGTAAAAGTACACCATAATACGGATGCAGCCTACAGCAAAGTGACCACAGTCAGCTTGGAATTGTATGTGATTTTGAGATTGAGCGTATTTGCAACAAATACTTATCGTACAGTGGGTTAATGAGGTGAGGATGGAGCAGAAGTATCAGTATTCAGAGGAGTCATTGGAAAAGCAGATATATATGATCTGATCACACTTTTTTAATTTTAGTGTAAAATGCAATGGAATAAATGGTTTTCCATGTCCAGGGTGGATAGGAAAAGAAGTAATGGGCCTACATTTCAGCAGGAAGATTTAGGTTAGATGTTAAGAACATTATAAATAGTCATGGTAATGCAGCACTTCAGTAGATTGTCCAGGGAGATTGTGCAGTCTATATCCTCAGTGATTCTGAAAAATGGATTTAACAGAGATGTGTCTGAAATGGTACAGATACATCTAGTGTTCTCTTTGGGCAGAGGACTGAACTGATGACTTCTTGCAACCCTTCCCCCATGATTTTCTGTGAATTTCTGTGATTGTTTCACAGTAAAGTTTGTTCTTCTGTTGGGGATATTTGATTGGTCAAATGTGCCTACAGTAGAATTCTAGTTAGGACATTTTGCAATTTTTTTTTTTAATATGGGCCTTCTTCAACTACAGAAATGTGGTATAAGGAGAGACAAAAAGAAAGGTGTAAGAAGTAAGAAATAAGAACTAGAATAATAATTTTTTTTTTTTTTTACAACTGAAAACTTTTAATAGGTTCTGGGTTTTAACCAAGAGCTTAAAAATTAATAAAATGTCAATGCAGATTAACATTACAAATTAAAATATAATCAAGCATTACATACTGTTTACAAATACGTATCTCCTGCTTAAGTAGTTGCATTGCAGTTTTTTGTCAAGTGTGTGCATATTTTTTATTTTCCTCACTAGTATTCCCTCATGGATCTTTTATCCAAAATGGTTGTTGGACAGCCTCACTTTATCCGCTGCATTAAACCTAACGATGATCGAGAAGCACTGACATTTTCTCATGAGAGAGTTCTACTGCAGCTACGATACACTGGAATTCTGGAAACTGTCAAAATACGTCAAAAAGGGTATTCTCATCGCATCCTCTTTGAAGAGTTTGTGAAAAGGTAAGACTTCTATAGCATGGCTGTTGTTTTAAAACTCCATTCAATAAAATGTATTCTATGTTTAAATACAGAAAGTTCTACAAATATTGGTTTGTACATGTATGGTCTGATTCTCTAATGAGAGCAGTGACTATCAGAGATAAAGACTACAAGAGATATCTGAGCTCTAATGGAGAAAAGTCAATGTGAGAGCAGCAGTGAGCACTTAGTATTCAGTAGCAAGCCTGTCCCCGTGGTCTCCTCAGTAGAGGCAACAAGTGGAAATTATGCATCACGTTTAGATAATACAAGGATTTGGAAGGTCAGTGACCTTCAGCCATCATACGAAGAATATGCACATGCTTAAGAATGAACTGATGTAAAAGCTTTAGATTTAGAAATATTCCTTGTAATAGCTTCGTAGCCTCGTAGTCATTTATCTTGGAGATATCATGAATTATAACCATATCTCTGTTTACCTGAACCCGTGTCATGGCTACTATTACTGGCTTTAATATTATTCTCAATCTCAGAAAGCTATACATTTGATTCAGGAAATGCTACTGTCTTTATGATGACAGTATGTATATATTATCATTATGGTTTCCTCTAGACTTAAAATATGTTTTTGTGTAGTATTTACGGTTTTCCAGTCTGTAGGATTGATAATTCAATAATGGAGCAGAAGCAGTACCATTAAGCGATCAACTACTCAACGGTAGGAACACGTAGCGATTGCCTAAATCAAGCATTTAGTGCTATTTTCTGAACTGGAAGTTGCTCATCCAGACAATATAGAGTTAATGAATCTACTGAAAGCAAGTCATTCATATGATGCTAGAGGGAAGGAGGTGATTATGTTTTTGAGAAAGAGGAGATATAAACAGTTTCACAGGCCTTTCTAAAACCCAGAGATCAGGTAAATTTATGTGTGTAAATCAGTCATTTGGGCTTGGAAATCTGTGGTCCTTGCATTGAGGGATGTTGAACGGTAAACCATAGCTTAATCAATTCATTCTGAAAAATTATGACATTTTCTGCTTTTTAATATATTAGTATGCCAAATGAATATGTAATAGGAAAACACTAGAGATATATATCCCAGGAAGGATAACTAACATGTTCATTTGTCCATCAAAGCAATTTAATTTTCAGACATGATCTCCCCCAACTTTTTTTTGTGTTACATGACTAATTTTAGTAAGGTCACACTATTCTAAAGCAGGTTTAACAGAGTGATTAATTTTTGTGATCACTAACACATCTTTGCAACATCCTAAAGAGGCTGAAGGCAGAATTATTAACCTTAACTTTTATCCAATTTACACATAAGTGAACTAAGATTAACTCCACTGAAATTAGTGTAAATTGAGAGGAAATTAGGCCTCCTCTTACCAGTAGATTCTTTTCATTCACAAGTGCACTGAATTTGAGTACAACCTTGAAAAGTAATGGTAATAAAGGTAGCACTGACTGTAGCTTTCCATTCCTGCAGATAAGGGCAAGTTGTGTTTAACATTTTGTCAGATACTCCCCAAGTTTTTAGTCCAACTTGATGTAATTCTTTCAGGAAAGAAAGTCAACACAACAAGGGAAGTGGGGGGGAAGATGTAGCAATTTGCCCAACAGCATAGAAGACTTCCTGAGTACAGAATATAAATGGGGGGCGGGAGAGGGGATGTTCTTGCTCCTTTGTTCAGTTCATGCTTTATTTTTAAACAAATTATATTCTGTTTTGCTCTTGGCGGGGGGAAAAAAAAAAAAGAGCAATGCTTAAAAAAAGCTATCAATGGAACAAGAAACATTTTTCTTCAACTTACAGCCATGACTAGTCAAGTGTTTTTAGGAACTAAGTAGTTGAATACATAAAAATGCTTGAGAAAACAGGTCAAATGCTAAACAGATTGGCACTTCTTTGTTCATAATCAAAAAGACATTAGGCAAGTATGAACAAGAGTTTCAAAATGTCAGTAAATGTGAGGATATCAAAGATTTTCTAAGCCAGCAAGTTAATTGGTATTTTGATCCTTTTGAGCAACTGAACAACAAAATGGATGAGCCAGCACTTTTTCTCCCTTGATGTTATTAAACAAATAGGTGTGCTTCTTATCTGCCTGTTCAATAATGCTGTTTTGTAAACTCTTAGCAGGAAATATGAGGACAAAACAATCAAAGGCAGGGAACAGAACCATTCAGGGTTTATCAGGTGGGAGGTAAACAAAAGATAAAGCTCTGTCTAATGTTACTCTTTACTGTCTTCTGTTTTCATGTAGAACAGTGTTGCAAACCTGGAGGTAGTTTATTGGGTTAAAAAACAGATGGTGAGGAGAGGACTTAATTGTAACTCATTCACACAATGTTTCTTCAGCCAAGTATACAACCATCTGTTTTATGTATATAAATATACATATTCTTTTACTTAAAGTAGGAAAATGTAATCTGCAGCCCCTGTAAACACTGTAGACCTGTCAAGTCTTAGGCACTTTGTCTCTGTTGGCCTTGTCTCGCACCCCACACCACCATGTGTCTCTCTTACATGTTTGCTGTGAAGCAGCATGGCCCCTTTCTCAGGCTGGAATCCCAGGTTTCAGACACAGGTTATTAACCTGATCAGGCAACCAGGTGTGCCTGGCTTGTGGGGCCACATAGTGACCATGCACTGCACAGCAGCTAAGGGAGGTGTGCTTTCTAGCTGGGACCTGCACTGAAAGTCCCGCTGGATGGGACACTCCTTGCTATATCCGAGTGCCCAGGCCCCTGGAGCTTCACGTGACATGATGTGGTGTGCAGGTGTGTCCTCACCACATATCCCCCAGCTGTATGCACCTTTTATGTAATGTGGCATATACTGTACCATGGGTTGAAAGATAAGGGACTTGAGAGACTAATGGTGCTAAATGCTGTCATGCTTGAAGTGCCTCATAAGCACATAGGAATGTGTTGAGAAGTTTTGTACAAGTTTCATTTAAGGATTGGCTTTTTTCTTCTCTGTCCATTTACGTTCTGCATTAAAGTTCTTTGTACTGCATTAGGATGCAGGATACACTTTTCCTATAAGCACTACCTACTCCACAGTAGCCAGATGATGTTGCTCAGATCATACGCTCGTGGCAATACCAGTGCCATTACTATCACAGTGATCCCAGTGAGGTTGGTTCTGCTTTTTCAATCTCGCATTGCAAATTTGCATAAGGTCACTGTTGGTACACCTGGTACACACAGTCTCTAAACTGTCAGTGTTGCATTTTCATGACCATATAAAGTCTCATTGACCTTAATGAGTCACGTTCTGCGTTGAGTGGAGCTAGGTATAAAAACTGGTCAAATACTGTAAAATCCTGTAAAACATGTTACCTCACTACATGCTTTCTTCTAACCCCAAAAATTCAGTGGTGATAGACTTGTTTATTATTCAAACTCAGGGAAGCACTAAATTGAATTAGAAGTCAACAGGTTTGCTACAGAGAAAAGAAATGCTTGCTTTTAAAATTATGCATTTTTAATGCCAACTTACTTTTAACACTGAGTCTGCACTGTACCAAAGTCCCTAAGTAATTTCTGGAAACAAAATTGTAATATCCCCCATATTTTGCTTTTACTGTTATCCATGGAAATGCCTGTTATTTGTTTCAGTGGCTTTAAGATTTCACCAGATCTGTATAATGTTCCTGTACACTTTAAATATGGTAATCTACTGTACCTTCCACATATACTTTCTAGACTCTTGTCATTCACAGAACACTGGTAAATGGCTGCAGGATGGAGAAGATAGGAAACCTCTAGGAGTGAAAAGCCCGCTAACACCTTATGAATTGTATATGCAGAATGGACCAAATTATGCCTTTCTGAGAGTATTTCTGTGATTCTATGTTTATCTGATGATTTCCAGCATAAGTGTTAGGTATCTGGTACTGAATTTCAAGAGTATCTTAGATGTTTTTTCATTTTTAATTTACATTTTTTCATTCATACTCTCAATATAGAGTCAAATGTAATTAGTTGTATGAATTCAGATGTGAAAGTTTCTGAAAGAGGTGAGATACAACCAATACAAGTTAGGAGTTTTTGAAAGTTATTTAACGGCTCTTTCAGTGCTAAAAACATGGGGTTTTGTTTTTTTTTTTCAAACTTTCCAACTCCAGGGCTGAGAAGGAACAAACGTCTTTTGGAATGTTGAGAATCTCCCTGCTATTGCTGGGGGTCTGGCTAGAAAGGGATTTTGCCCTCTTGCACCTCATGCTTTTCATTATCCATTCTCCACCTCAGGCCAGTATATTATAGTACAAAGATTTGTTTTAAAGAGAAAAAGGGTTAATCATTACTTTTTTGAGTTAATTGTGTAGAATTGATGCTGCCTTTAAGTCTGGAATGTGAAGGGAACTTTAGTAAAAGACACTGGTATTGTAGTTAATGGTGGTGTTTAAATGCTATTTATTGAACAGCTCCACAGTTCACTCTTTAAAGAGGGGAGAGAAATTGAACCATTTGTTTACAATCAGTTTATCTAATCTGAAACCACCAACACTAAAATGCCTTGGCCATAATCAGATAGTTAATGCATAGCATCGTTCTGAAGTTTTCCATATCTTAGCATACTTGGATGTCTTTAATGTTTAACCTTAACTCTGCATGTCCTAGCTTTGCAATTGTTGGTCTGGGGATAAATTCAACTTTTAAAAAAAGTTGGTTTATACCTAATGACTACTAAGTACAGTTAATCCCATTTTAATGTATGTTGTGTCTGGAATACTATTCATGTCCATGAAGGATAGTTTGTAGTGCAGTGTAAGAATCACTGGTTAAGAAATACATAATTCCAGAGTTTCATCAGCTCTGAGAAATTAGTTTTTCTGAGGGGGAATTACTTTTCTCTTACTTAGTCTTACTACTACTGAGAATGTGATTAGTCAAGTACTCGTAGGAAACATGTAGATGAATATGTGTCACATGTAGGAAATTTTCGAGCAGGATGTATAACCCAAGAAAATAATGTATTTTTGCACAGATATGTGCATGTTTATGAAACAACACATGAAGTACCATAAACTTTATTTTTAAAAATAGAAATAAAAGTATTGGCTTAACATAGAAGAGCACTGAAGTATTCCAGACTACTGCATTTTCTGCTGGAATAACAAATGCAAATATGGAAATAAAAAAGTAGAGTTGTGAAATTTTCATCTCATCTGGAAGCAAATGTGATTTCTAGCTCTACTTTTCTGAAATTAAGTATCTGGTTTCTTCTCGTGGTGAAATGTTGTAAATAGAGGTCACTCTGTGATCTCTGTACAGTAGATTTACATAAGTATGATAGAGATAAAACTAGGCCAATAAATCAAAAGGAACAGTTGTAGTTGCATATACCTCAAAGTTTTGGGTGCATTCCCAGATGTTTTCTGTGCCATTTTGCCATGTACAATATTTGCACGCTTTTACCAGATACATTAAGGTGAAACATTTTACCTTCCTCCAAAATATTCCATATGGTCCATTGCTGTACAAAGATTTTAGATGAGGTAAAATAAATGGATGACCCTATGTGGCACATGCTGTGCTGCCATATCCTGAGCACATCAAGTCAAACTACTTGTGCATCTGTAGTTATGTGATTCAGTCATGAAAACAGGCACCAGATAGAAAACAAAGTGTTTGCTTAAAAAAAATACATGGATTTGAGCTTTGGAACACTAATCTAGAGACCTTTTACTGTGCAGAATGAAAACTCCAAAAGCAGTTCTGGAGGAGAGATAATCAAAAAGAAATTGCCAGTCTTATATTGCTAGACCTTATTTCTGATGAGTAGAGCCATTTCTGCCATATTTTTGATGACCTAACTGAAAAGGAACAGGAAGACCTGATTTTGAAAAACTGATATCCCAGCGTGTTTAACCAGTTACAGGAGTCTTCTGTGCAGTGCTTGGGTCAATCAAAACATTTGGAAAAACACCATTTAGAGGAAGTTTTCGTGAAATTTTGGGAGACAATATGTTTACATACAGAAACTGAAGTAATTCCCATGTTTGTAAAGTTACTGTCATTCTGAATGGCTTGCTTCCTTAGAAGACAGATAAATTTAAATTTAAAAAAAACATTTGTTAAATAGGATTTGATAAGAAAAATGGGCATTGTTTTATTTATGTTTTTCTTCTGAGTACAAAAAGCAAATACATTCTAGATCATGAAAGAGAGCTAATGGAGAGGGTACTACATTTGAAAGATACTGAAGTTTGTCAAAAACAGAACTGTATAGTCGGTGTGTAAATTGCCTAGCTCAAAAATACTTTTTAGTCAGGTATTTGTCAACTTCTCAGTAATTAGAATGTCACTGATAAGATAGTAAGATTCAAAAATTGTGAGAGCCCCCTTGACTATTCTATTGCATCAGTGCTATCTAAAAACTGTTCTGTGGTTTTAAAATTCCCAACTACAACATGCCTTAAAAGATGTATGAACAACCAGAAAACTGATATTATCACTCACTTGAATCCTTCCTTCCTTCTAAGGAAAGGAACTGCTTAAGTTACATACATGTGTAAATAACGTGGCTATCTGAACTGGCTTTTGAAGCAAACAGCAATTTACTATTAGTGCAACTTCCCTGATGTATCTGTCAAGTATCTGTTGAAATTGCATGCTACCACAAATTGTTTGCGATATGTATATTTTAAATCTGAGTTTTATGAGTGCAACTCATAATACCATTTGTCGTGTGAAAACTGGCATCATTAAGTTCAGTAATAAGGTGGAGGAAACGTACTTTTTTTTCTTTTAAATACACCATGTTTCTGCATACCTACTAAATGGTGTGACTCTTAGTATTTTGAAAGACTTGGCTAAAGAATTTGCAATATTACGTTATTGAGAATGTCACTGCATTAAAAATAACTCAGTAATACATAATCTTCTATCATTATTCAGAGTGGGCAATGTCTCCAGTTGGTGAATATCTATGTCTCTGGTCCAGGCCTGATTCCAGTGCTTCAGCCTTCAGACATCATTTTGTTCCTCTTACTGACTATTTTAGTGGTTCTTTTTTCTTTCTTGTGACAACTGGAGCCAATATCTAGAGATTAACTGGAGCTAATATTTGAAAATCACATTCTCGTGATTAAAAAAAAAAAAAAAGTCTTGTGCTATTCCATTCTTTCTAATTGCTTCTCCATATTTTCTCCAGTATGAGGTGGGATATTTTCATGCCTCTGTGTGACTACAGAGGAATCTGTCTTTGAGGTTCACCGGTTGGCTTCTTCTCTTTATGTTTTAAAGAACATCTGATGGCTCTTCCCCATGCTAATAGTTAGGAGAATGGTTTGCTCAACCTGCCAGTTCCTCTCAAACACAATGTACAGTAGCACCTGTAGAAGTATAACTTAATAAAGACCAAGACAACACATGGCGGTTCATAAATGAGAGCTGAGGTGGCGGTTGCTACCATCTAACAGTATACTTGTGCTAAAATAACCTTCAATTTGTAAACTAACTGACACATGTTCTTGCTGTTACTTAACATAATTGTTTGCAAGTAGAGTTACTTAAATACTATAAAACCATTCTTCATTAATGCATGGTGGCTTTACAGGTAGGGATTGGTCCATTCATTCTTAATTCAGTTCAAAGACGTTTGCATTCCTTTTTCATTAACTATTTGCAAAATAATGTTATTTCACATAATTGTTAGGGGCTGTTCTTTGGAAGGGAACGTGGAAAAGTCAATGTTGTTTAGTATGGGCCTGCTCCAAAGGCCAAAGGAATTGATGATAACCATTCCAATTAATTGTTTATCCCAATCAAAGAGAAAAAAGGGTTGTTTAGTATGGGCCTGCTCCAAAGGCCACTAAAATTGATGATAACCATTCCAATTAATTGTTTATCCCAATCAAAGAGAAAAAAGGCATCGTGCCTAAAGACTTACAAACCTAATCATAACCACAGAAATCCTTGTGAGTAAAGAAAATTATTACATTCATATGAGGCGTAATTAACTTGTTTTTTCTTTAAAATAGCTGCTAGTTGGTGAATCAGCACTGATAAAATCCTTGCCAATATGATAGCAATGCCAGTTGTTTTAATTATGCATATATATGACCTCTTCTGGAAGTGTGAAACACAGGTAGGTATTCATGCAGTCTGAGCATCTTGCTGTCGGTAAATTAAGATTGATATGAGAGTTGTTTTTACTGTAAACTATTCTTCACACACAGTGGCAGCCTTTCAGCTTCAATAATCAGTCAGTATCACTGTATCATTTCACTGCCTACCCTCCTAGTGCTGGCCTTTATCCTCACCAATTGAGAATCCTCAGTCTTTCTATTAGGCATACTGAAAATGGGAAGCTCCCCTGAGTTCCTTTGATGGGAGTGATCTTGTTACAAGCTCAAGAGCCTTGGACTTCTTATGTGGATTTATGCTTCCCAAAGAATGTCAAGGCCATTTATATTTCTTTGTCAAAAATGACCGATACCAGTAACTAACATATTGAAAGATTCTGAAATGCCTTTTTTGGCATTTCTCATAAGAAACAGGCATCAGGTCATGAGTAACTTACTTTTGGTGCTTTTCTCTTTCTTTGGTGCTAGTATTTGACTTTTCTCCCACTCAGAAATCTGTAAAGGTGCACTGAACACCTCAGGGAGCACCTGCTTATTCAACAGAACTTGCAGAGAGATGTAACTGTGCCAAAGTATGTTATGCAGCTCTGTAGATGGCGTACTTATTTTACACATTATGCCAAAGGTTTTATTTTTGCTTTCCTTTCTATTACTCTGATTTCTAGCACTTTTCCTTCTTCTTGCTGTCATTCATTCACTTGTTCGCCTGAAAACTTCAGAACAACCTTGGGTGTTTCCTAAGTTGCACTGGTTTGTGAAAGACCTTTATGGATGATTACACTGACTGGGGATTTCTAGTATGCAGCAGATTCTTGTCGCCGCTATGGTACCACTTATTTTCCTATGTCATGTATATGCTCAAATATCTGTTCATGACAGCTGTGTCATGATTTATGAACAGGACTGAGTATAAGGGAGAATTTGGCCTGTGAGTTCTAGAGATGCAGCTCTGAGCTAGAGAAGAGTAGTGAAAGTACATATTGATTGTCAAGTCAATTCTTTCTTTGTCATTTGGTTTTGCAGGTATTATTACCTTGCATTCAAGGCACATGAGACTCCTGTTGGTAGCAGAGAAAACTGTCTTGCCATTTTGGAGAAATCCAAACTAGACAACTGGATTCTTGGGAAAACCAAGGTAGAGGGTGCTAACATTTTCTCAAGGATAGTATCCTTTTAGCAAAACATGTCTAATAGTGGTTTGAAAAGTACTGCATGAATGAACAAAAGAGCAAGGAATTTGCTCCAGTTAGCCTCCCAGGTTACGGAGGTGCCCTCCTAAGCCAGCTGAGTTAGTGCTGCAAGAGGAGGGGTGCACTGGGTACCTCCTCAAAGCGCATTCTGCACATGGCTGCCTTGATAAGGACAGTACATCTGTCAGTGCCTGCTGTGGTAGTGCCTCCCTGAAGTTCCTCCTGCTCTTAATCATGGCATGACTGAAACGTCACACTCTGGCCCATCCTGTGAGCCTGGTTAGTACATTATCCATTTGTGGGGTTTCAGGTGAGATCCTTCTGGCTCTGTCAAGAGCCTTTGTTCATGATTTAAAATGTAGTGGATGACTTCTATAAAAAGGATGGTATACAGTATCTTGACTTGTTTTACAGTGCACAAAGGAAAAACAAGGAGAATTTTCCTGCTCAAGACCCAGATAAAGTATGTAAGCACCCATAGGATTTGCCTTCTGAAGCAGAATGCTGTTAGACAGTATTATGTCTAAAAACAAATCCAACCCAGGATTTATCTTCCCACTGTCAAGAAAGGCTGTATTTCAAAATTGTTGATACCTGAAAATATTCCCATGCCAGTTAACTTTGTAAAGGGATAAATATGTGGTTTATTTTGCAATGGGGTGATTATAATCAGTGGAATAATGAAATTCCACAAGCACACTGAGAGAAAATATTTGATTCACAAGATTGCTATGACATCAGCAACCAGTATTTTACCACTTTTCTCAGCAACAGTGCCCTAAAATAGGCTGACGTAAGACTAATGAAAAGGCAGAGTACAAAAGGTTATGTTACTGCCTGCATGTAATACTAATTTTTTTTTTTGTTCCATTTCAGGTTTTTCTAAAGTATTACCACATAGAGCAGTTAAATTTGTTCCTGCGAGAAGTTATAGGAAGGGTGGTGGTCATGCAAGCCTATATCAAGGGATGGCTTGGAGCAAGGAGGTACAAGAAAGTCAAAGAGAAAAGAGGAAATAGTGCTGTTACCATACAGTCAGGTAAATGTTTACATTCCCTATTTCATTGGGTGTCTTTGCATTTCAAGCTGTTAAATTGCACGTACATTATTTATTCATTTGTAATAGTTATTATGAAATCAAAATAACTGGAGGTGCTTTTCTCTCCAGCTAATTGATGCAAATATTATTGATTTACTTCTAAGGTGTTATCTTAGTATTTGGTAATGTCTTTATTTAAATATTTTGTTATTTTGGATGTGATGCCAGTGCAGAAAATGAAAATATTGTTAGGTATGTCTACGCTAGCATGCAGCACATAAATGAAATGCAGTAGCATGCCCCCCCCTCCATGTATACTAGTATTCCAGATAACATACGTCATGGGGTGGGCCTGAGAGGCTGATTATCACAAATTTAACAGGCTTCCTTGTATCAAATTTGGGGAGCTGTGTGAGGAGGGGAGTTCTTGTGCTGACATGATCATGCACCTTTGCCTTTTGGGTTAGGACATCAGGGAGCAAATGGTGACAATTAAAATTTGGACGAGTGAAGTGGTGTTTGAAGTTGTGGGGATGTGAATACTGCAGTCGTGAACCCAGAGTTCAACATCTGGGTGGGTGGGGAAGAGGTATTGGGGGTGGGGGCTGGAGTGGTTATGGCAGGGGGGGTGGAAGGGTTACCAAA